CTCAGCTGACTGCAGCCAGGTGTGTGTGTGTGTGTGTGTGTGTGTGAGTGTGTGTGTGTGTGTGTGTGTGTGTGATGCTGCACGAGGCTTCAGTCGGACCGCTTTAGGAAGGGGGAGGGGCTCACTGCTTGTGGAGGAAAGGAGGTGTGTGTGTGTGTGTGTGTGATGCTGCACGAGGCTTCAGTCGGACCGCTTTAGGAAGGGGGAGGGGCTCACTGCTTGTGGAGGAAAGGAGGTTAAAAGGAGAAAAGTACTGTCGTCAAAGCTTCTAAAAGTCTTCAAAAACACCGGGAAAACTCACCAGATTTGTCGCTAGTCTCTTTTTGAAAAAAAAAAGAAGAAGAAGCTGGCAACACTGCTCTGCTTGGCTCACTCCCAAGTCACGTGACCAGTCAAATCGCAGCCTGTGAAAATCTCGTTTTAACATATCGCGAGATTATCRCAAATGTGATTAATCGTTCAGCCCTAGTACGCAGTCAACGTAAACAAAGCACCTGATAAATCAGAAAATACATCTTGAGTGATGTGATTGACCTACATTCGGCTGGCTGTAGGTAAACAAATGTGGCGGAACCGGACAAGCTAACCCACCCTGTGCCCACCTTCATAGCTACTTCCTGTATTCAAGGTCTGCATTCAGATTGAGGCTTTTGGTCCTTTTCTGTTTACTTTTATATGCATGTATTTATAAATTAGTTTTACAGGAAGTTATTGTCTGAATAACTGCAGAGCACAGATGAAACATGGTTTAGATTAAGTTTATCTTGAACTGGAGGTAGCAAAATACTGTCTTTAAGCATGARCATCTGTGAAAAGGTCCATGATTATGATGAGTATTTTTAACTCATAGTTGTCTTTTTTTCTTGGTCTGAATTTCAAAGCATGATCACCTCCCATCAGCTGCTTCACACAAATAATTTCCACACTTTCGCCTTTCTTTTTTTTGTTTCTTGCAGAAAAACTGATMGTGTGCATCACGAGACGACAGCCTCCCCCCACTTACTGCCCCTGCTGAACTGACACCACAAGGGACCACAACACTACCAACGGGACTCAACTCCAACATTTACACTCACTCCTCCTCATAGCTTCTCTCTTCTCTCTGTTTCTGTCTGTGCTACATTCCTCCTTCGCAGCGGACATGTGAATGAAACCACGCGAATCGTCTCGTGGACCTAAAGCTTCCTGTGGACAGCCGTTAGTGACACTATGACCACTCGATCTACAACACTAACGCTCGTCAGAAACCAGGGACCGAGGCTTTGTTTGAGAACTTCTCTTTGGATTTTAACCAGTTAAAGGATCGGAGTCTGACCCTTTCTGATGAAATTTTACATTTATGTTGATGACACTGTTTAGAAGAAAGCTCCTTCCTTGTTAAACACTACAACAATAATTTCTATTTAAATTTTAAATTTTGTTGTTTATGCTGTGGTTGCTCTTAAACTTGCTTTACTCCAAAACATTTATACACCGTACCTGTGCCAAATGACAAAAACAAGTTTGTCATAAAAGTGGGTTTTTGTTCCCCGGTAGCTACACCAGTATCATCATCTGCTTTTATTTTCAGCTCATCGCCAAGGCATTCTCAGTTCACAGAAAAAGCATTATCCTAGTTTTGTTTTCTTTTTTTAAAGCAGTCTTTATCGAGGTAATTTTTGGGAGACACTACAAGAATCSGTGGATGCATTAAATTGTTTTTGCTTGCCTTTAACCTGATGAATGTGTAAATAAAAACAAAAGTCTTAGCTGCGGGGTTAACTAGAGTGCCTCACATATTCAGGATGGAGCTGAAAACCTGGAAGACATTCAATTGTCTTTTCACTGCAGCTAGCAGGTTTTAGAAATATATATATTTTATTTTACGGTTAAACTCATCAAATCTGTCTTATTTCATGCTTTACAAACCCGTGGTCTACCTGCCAATATTTTCTCAGTTTTGCCCACATTAGTGCAGCGTAAGATGTAGATAATCAGTGGAATATTAAAAGAAGCACTATGAGGGCATAATCTTTACTTTTCTATCTTTGTTTTTATATTTTGTTTATACCAGTTGAAAAATGACAAAGCCTTATTTTCCCAAGCAGAGAAATTGYCTTCATGAGTGAATTTACTTAAAAAAAAAAAAACTGCAAGGGTTGGTGTCAGAAAAACCGTTCAGAGGCAAATACCATAATTAGCTAAAATAAAATAAAAAAAACATGGAAAAATGAATAAAAGCACATTTAAACTATATATAATTACAAGAGAATATTTCTTAATTTTAATAGTTTTATGTATTTTATTGATTTGGTGTTAATTGTTTTGGGTTTTCTGGGTTAATGCATATGCAATCAGTTTTTATGTTTTGATTGTAAYGTTCAGTTTATGTCTTAAAGCAAACCAAGTTAGCTGAATAAAAAACTTATCACATTCGTCATGTAAAACAACAAAAATCAGATTGTGAACTACACCTTAATCTCTTTGCCTTGGCTTTTGAAAACTTGCACATTCTCATTTATGATTGAATTACGTACCTAGCAATAATGTTTTTAATAAAAGAGAAACTGATTTCTGAATGCTATGGTCTTCTGGTTTTCCCCTTATTTTTCACTGTTTTATATATTTTTTGTAAATGAAATGTGTCCAAAATGGATGAAAAGGAAAAATAATAATCCTGCATGCAGCTTTTCTCCACTGGGATCCAAAAAGTGTTTTTTTTTAAATACTTGCTAATGAGTGGGTTTATTTTAATGAATACAAGTTTAAAAAACGAAGTTTTAAGTGAGGAAAAGCAAATACATAATCTTTTAAAGAAAGTACCCGCCCCACAAAAATCCCCTTTTTGGGGGGTATGCATCTTTTAATCACCCGCACACATTGCAGTGTCCTGAGTTGGTGAACTTAGGACACTGCACAAGCAATGAGAATTTATCATTTAAAAAAAAAGTTGATGGCAAATGTGGCCTTAAAATTAGTAAATAATCTCTGAATCAAACTAATAACCCTTGCATTAAAAAGGTAGATGATTTCGTTTGTTATTTTAATATTTTTATGTTTTTTTAATTAGAGACTAATTTTCCGTTTATACTGACGCCTGCCCATTGAAAACACATCTTACACCCATTTTAAACATTAAACTCACTCAGTCACTTCCAGCTGGATCGTGCGCCGGAGAAACAGTAAGGAGTTGACCCTGACTTGGCTGTACCGCGAGATGTCRGTCACTACATCGCCGAGAAGCGCTACTTTCACTTGTGAAAACATGAAGAATAATCAATAATTAATCATTTGAGCCCAATTCAAAAAGTTTAACGCCTATTGGAGGAAAAAAGGTTCGCGAAAAATAAAGTTTAGCTGCTTCTTTGGACAACAAAACTGTGAGTAGCTATGAAGCCGTTAATTAGCATCAGTTTGAGTTTGCTAATGTCAAAAGAATTAAACTATTGATCGTCTACAAATTATGAACGAAGTCCATAGTGTTTATGTTAAAGTTAGCTTTAGTTTTTGATAAAACTGTTAGCTATAACTTATTAATCAGAACTGACAAAAAGTTTAAAGTTTAATCATRTCGGTGGAAACGTGCTTACGTGAATGTGCGTAAAGATGGCGGCTGAGTCAAAGTCAAGGCTGTGTAATATTTTTACACAGTTTTCAACAGATCTGTTAAATATAGCCCTTAAATGTCAGTAATTAATGCTTAGATAGTGTTACATATACTTTCATTATTTAAGAAAATAATTGTTTATTTTTTCCATGTATTTTTCTGCTTAATGTTTTTTATTGTAAGCTCTTTAAATTTATCCAAACAAAGCTAGATTAGACACATGCGATGACGTTTATTTTATTTTTATTTACAACTGTTTTACCTAGTGAAAACAAATTGTTTAATTACAATTACGCATTTTTTTTTCTGCTTTGGTTACTTGCTGTATTTTCGTCTTCCTGCTACTTTTAGTTTTGTTGCTACATTTAGCTTCAAATTAACTTTTTGATGCTTTAATTTAGCCTTTTGGTAATAAGCTAGCTGAAAGTCTGTGCGCTAATAGCAAAAGCCTTTTGCTTCTTTTATTCTTTAGTCAGCCTATTGATACTTTTAATATTTATATATCMTTTTGCTACTTGAACTTTAAGATGTTTGTTGTCATTGTAGGGGCAGTCGATTCAGTGTAGGGCATAGTAGGAAGAAATGTACTTACACAATAATGAATAGGAGAGAAAAATAGAATATAACAGAATCAAAAGTCTTGTAGTGAAGCAGTAAGTATTCTGCCTATTTTAGTTTTTAACTACTGTTATGCTTCATTCAGCTGGTCAGATATGAGYGGACTGCATTACTGCTTAAAAGGGAAAACATAAACCTGCCAGGCCCATTACGTAGCAATTATTAAAAATGAATATGGTTTTGATAAAGCATGAATTTCCACAATTATTGATGGGAAAGTTGTGTACAATAAAAATAAATCTGTTAAAGATTTAAAAATGTCGAGTGGCTGTGAAGTTGAACATCTTTTTATGGTACAACATTTTGTTCCATGTTTTGTTGGCTGATTATCATGTTTCTCTGCTTCTTTTCTRTTTTTTTCCCCCTCCATGCATGTCTTTAATTACAGTGCCTGTATGGAGATGCAAAAGTTCTGGTGGCCCGGCTATGAGATGCAACTCGTTGAACGGCTGCAGAGACAACAAAACAGCTCCCAGTTCTGTGATACCCTGCTGCAAGCAGAAGGTAAGACCATCAAAGAAAAACTAAACCTGYTTGTGAAATATATCAACCCATTCCGTCCATTWGTTGATGAGTTTTTCACTTTTTATGAAGGTATCTCAGTCCCGACCCACAGCTGTGTCCTTGCAGCTCTCAGCCCTTACTTGTGTCTGAGGCTCTCCACCTCTCCGTCTCCTCCATCTGGACAGAGACGACTGCTCCAGCTGCAGACGGTGAGCTCCCAGACGTTGTTGAAGCTCGTCGTCCTCCTGTACTCTGGGAAGCTGGAAGTGAGAGGAAGCAAGGAGCAGAACGATGTGCTGGCTGCGGCCTACCAGCTCGGGATCGGACATCTTGTCTTCAGGGATAAAGACAGGTGTGTGAAATGTGGAGATCTGCTGAACAGTAGGCAGAGTGTTGGAGAACCCTCAGAGGATGGGACTCATGCAGAAGAAACCAGACAGAAGAGCAGAGGCCTGAGAATGCAGGATCAACAAGTTCAGGCTGAGATGAACAACAAGAGAGAAAACGATCCTCGCGTTAATAAAAAATGTTTCGTTTCTGTTGCTACACAGACAGTAAAAGCTGGTGTCTCATCAGGGTTCAGCTCTGCTCCTGATCAAACACTGGAGTGTCCGTCTTCCATCCCTCCGCAGCCTCAGAGCGTCACACGCAGTGAACAGCTCATTCAGTCTACAGTCGGACCACCCTCCATCAGCGAAACAAATTCTACATCTGTTGCAACTTTATCCACTTCATTCAGTGACGACCCGAGCTCCCCAAGATTTCAGGGGGAAAACGTTTCCAAACAGCCGACCGAGGCTGGAGATGTCACGTTCGTTCTGAACGACGACGATGAAACAAGWCGGGAGAACAGAGAAGCAAACGGCCCGATGACCGAGGATGCAGGACAGCTGAGAGATGAGAAAACACCTGAAGAAGAGAGAAAGTCTGCAGGAAAGAGATGCACAGGAGGGAAAAGCCTCAAAACTATGAAACGGATGGAAACCACACAGATTTCTCTCAWGGTAAGACATTTTAAAATAACTTGGAATGTGTTTTAAAAATAAAGTTTCATTGTTATTTCTTATGTTGGAAAAGTTTTTTTAACTGTGTCTAAAGTTTATATTAGTTCCTTTGTCACCTTTCCCCCTCAGTTTCTGGTAAAAATGCTGGATCCTCAAATCATGATGTTACCTTGGATGTGATGTTAGGATTGCCACCTTTAGGAAATTAAAATTAATTAAAAAGGGACACCCACCACGTCCATCCACATCTTCTCACTAATAAAAGAAGTGTCCTTAAAACACATCCACAGGATTTATTCTGGAAAAGAAAACCTTGAAAGGTTAAAATCTGACAGATTTCTGTGATCTCTCTGCAGAACCTGTCACTCGTCTGGTCTGGCTCTGTCCTCACTCCATTAAGGCTGTAACTAAGTGATCAAATATCTCCTGACCTCCAGTTAAACTAGAAACAGGTTCTATTTGATTTTTAGCAAAGTATAAAAATGATTTTAAAGGGTTTCTCATTTAATTTGCTAATCTTCCATGTCAAGTTTTACATTTATAAAATTTACATAAAAAAACTTGTCAGCTGATAGAGTTCACACATTAAATGCACTCAGTTCATTTCTTTAATAATCAAAAGGCACAAAAACAAGTTGTTCTCATTTTAGTAGTTCCTGATTTTATTTGGACTTCTTTAAAATGTTATTTTAATAACCTCTTTACTTTTATGCAGCCTAATTGTTCAATCCCCCCTGGCTTGCTTGTGTCGTTTTGTATGTTTGTAACTACGATTTTTGTTTACAAAATGTTTTGGGAGTAAAAAAATAACAACAACAACTCAGACACATTTTACACTTGATATTTGTCTTGTAATCATCTCCACTGATACTGTCCAACCAAGGATGTCCCTCTTCCTTCTCATGTCTGGACTTTTGTCAGCGTTTCTGCTTTTAGGACGTGGTGGAATGTTGAGTGTAGTGGACATTTTTAAAAGGCGTGGGTTTTATGAGCAGCGCAGGTGTGTGTGTGTGTGTGTGTGTGTGTGTGTGTGTG